AAAGGTGTCTTCTGGACTCTCCATTTCTGGCTCTAGGGGTCTAATATGATAAATCCATTCTAACAGGCCAATTTCCCTAAGCCTCTGGATACCTTCTTCTACATTAAACCAAGGCAGGTCTGGTACTTCAACTTGACTTAAGGTTGTTGTTGTTGTTATTTGCCATCAAGTCAGCCCTGACTTACAGCGACCCCTTCTTGGGTTTCCGAGGCAGTATCACTATGGAAGTAGGATTGCCCAACCTTCCTTCCAAGAAGTGGCTGGTGGATTTGAACCGCCAGCCTTCTGTTTAGCAGTCAGGTGCCTTAGGCACTATGCTACCAGAGCTCCCACTGCATAATCCATGCCTCAGTAAGCCAACCAAATAAACTATTAGATCCTTTCCTAACCTCTCGAGCTGAGACATTGGATGAAGAATCCATACTTAGTGGGCCTAAATCAGTAAACTCAGACCGATCCAATCTTACATTCCTTACACCATTATCCCACACCCTCAGTAGCCATTCCCATACATATACTCCAGGTTTCTATCTGTACATGTTAGCAAATCAAGTGGGTCTTTTGGGGTATAGTGTATCACCTCCTCAGTCACACTTTCTGTTTTACCTCTGGGGTTTCGCTTGGACTTGACTTTAGTTATGGGTCTCGTAGCAACAATGGGTGCTTGAGGCAGTTCTGAGAGTATTCAGGAATGTCTTCCATGGCCTCTGCCTCAAATAATAACCCAGCAGGAACAGTTGGCTTAATCCCTTCAAATTGAGGGGGAGGGGATAATGGTTTTACAATAATCTGTTCATATGGGAGTGATTCAACAGAATTTACAGGCTCCATATCCTGATCTTCCTGATTATTTGTCCATATGTCCCCATTCCAGGTTTCAGGATCCCATTTTTTGCTCTCACTTTAATGTCAGACACCGTTCTGGATTGGCAATTTAATTGGTGTTGTAATTCAGCCACCCTTATAATAAGACTCTGGGTTTGGTTTTCAACAATATCAGCTCTGTTAGTAGAAGCTATAAGGCTTTCTTTCAGAGCACAACTGGAAGCACTGAGGTTTTTTATGCGGCACTTAAGCCAAGACTCAGCAGCTTTGCGCTCATCTCGCTCTTTCACCACTTTATCCAGTGTAAGTAGGACCAGCCAACCAGCTTCCTTATACTCCTCATTCTGACAAAATTGCAGAAAAGTATCAAATATCCGATCACCCAGAGCATCACTTCTCACAAGCACTTGATCTATTTGTGGTGCTATTTCACGTATTAATTTTGCCACCTCACTCCACGGATTAATAGGGCCCTCTTTACTAGCAGTCACAGAGTTGATAGTGTCATTAAAATTAATCAAACTGGAGAACCAATCTAGGAAGCCCATCCTTATGATTTTGTATCTCTAGAACCACTACTGGTACCAAATGTGTTAGACTGGGTTCTCTAGAGAAACAAAAACCAGCAAAGCTTATATATATATATACATATATATGTTGTTGTTGTTGTTATGTGCCGTTGAGTCGGACCCAACTCATAGCGACCCCTCTTTGGGTTTCTGAGGCAGTATCATATGTAAAGAGAGAGAGAAATTTATCTTAGGAAAATGGCTCACAAACACATAGAATCCAGCAAGTCCAAAGTTCTTGGATCAAATGTCAAGCTGGAGGCTTTTCCTGGCTCTCGCAACTGTAGGGGCTGAGAAGCTCAAGGCTGGCAGTTGACTGCAATGAATGACAAATCCAACATCTCTACGCCAAATGATGGACTGCTCACTCACGGACAGTTGTAGGCAGCACAACAGAAGCCCGATGCACAGAAGAATGTCTCTCTTCCCAGGATGTCCCTGGATATCCTGGAAGCAGGCCACACCCGTAGGGAAACTCCCCTTCAACAGATTGGCCACTCAGAACACAGTCATCCAATCCCATCATGGGAACAACCACACAGAACTGGGGTCCAGCCAAGTTGACACACAGCTCCAACAATCACAGGTCCTTAGACCAATTTTTGTTTATTGTCTGTTTTTTGTTTGTTGTTTTTCAGATAGGTCCATGAGGACCCCAGTTAGGGCAAATCAGTTTAGAAACTCTTCTTTGTTTCCATATGAGATGTTGGAGGTCACTGAGGTCAGCTCATGAGCCCTAGTCCTGCCCAGAATAGACCCTGAGAGGCCCCTGGTTCCATTCTCTATTGAACCAGGGAAACACTGGCCATCTGCTTTGTAATCAGGAGTTCACAGACACTGTCTCAGACCAATTCTTCGTAATCTCTTCTAGAAAATAAACTCACTGCTATCAAGTCTATTCTGACTCATACGTAGTGACCTCCATTGGGTTTCCAAGGCTATAAATCTTTATGGAAGTAGTTGCCTCCTTTTCTTCCTGTAGAGCATCTGGTGGGTTTGAACTGTAGACTTTCTGGTTAGCATTCAAAATGGCTTACTCATTACGCTACCAGAGATAGAAGACCCAAAACCCACTGCCATCAAGACAATTCCAACTCATAGCAACCCTATGGGATAGAGTAGAGCTGCCCATATTATTTCCAAGGCTGTAAATCTTTATGGAAGCAGACTGCCTCATCTTTCTGGTGGCTGCTGGGTTTGAACTACCAACCTTTTGCTTAGCAGCTAAATGCCTTAACCACTGCACCACCAGAGTGCCTAGAAAATAGAAGAGAAGGGAACAATTCCTAGTTGATTTATGATTTCGATACTAAAACCAGACCACGGCCAGTTACTATGCCTTCCAAAGTGATTCCTGTTCCCAGTGCCTTCATTTTGCACCCCTCACACAGGACACCACTCTTCTCATATGGCCATGCTGTCACTCAGGGAGCTGTTTTCTGTTTTCATTGCAGCTGCAGCCGACTCCACTGGGTCCAGAACATCCTGACCCAGAGCAGCAAGTCTCGGCCAGATGGAATCCTCTGCATCCTAGGTCAGTGCTTTTACGTAAGATGAGACTCAGGGTTGGGGCAACCTGGCTTCATGCAGGAAAATAATAACAGCATCACTGTGAGATAAGTGATGAGTTAGTGTCTTTCTCGCTGCTCATGTCCCCTGAAATCTTTTGCTGTTTTTCTGAAGTTGGGTCAGATTTCAGTGAGAGGAAGCCTCCCCAGGGAGCAGGCACTTAGTTTATATGGTGTCCTGTTTCTTCTCATAATAACCTTATAGGGAAGCAGTGTTAGTCCCGTTTTGCAGATGAGGAAACTGAGACTCGGGAGATTAAATGGACTTGTTCAGGTCATAGGATAGAAGAATTGGGTATTTATTTGTTCTTTAAAAATTTGTATTATTATGAAAATTGTGAATGAAAAAGATTCTGACGATACAGGAATATTTCCTATACATGCCAGATACCCTGTTACTCCCTAGATATAGTACTGCCAACTGCATCCTTTTTTTTTTTTTAAAACACAAATGGGAACACGGTCTACATACTGTTGTTAACATTGTGTTTATTTTCTCCACTTTGACAATATTATCTTGGAGACTTTTCTATATTAGGCTTAGATTGATCTCATTCTTCATCTCTTTTTCATTTATATTCTTGATACTGAGTAATAGAAGTGCAGTGGTTAGGTCAGGTGATTTGTCCTCAACCATCCAATTTCCTTCCCAGAAGCAAATTAGTTTCTTGTCTGTCCTTCCTCAGATATTCTGTGCATAATTTTGGTTTTTCACTTAACATTTGCATTTAAATTTATGAGAGGCAATGTGCAATGTGGTTAAAAACATAGACTCTGGAGCCAGACAGATTTTGGGTTTAAATCCCATCTCCATTATTCCCTTAGCCTGGAAGTTAGTGAGTCTCCTTAGAGACACAGTTCGTGGTAGAGCTGGAATTCAAGCCAGGGACTTCAAATGCTTACATAAGTGGCTTTCCAACTCAGGGGCTTTATTCTCCAACTGTAGCCATCAGGAGCGTGGGGACTCTCACTGCCATGAATTTACCCATAAATAAAACCACCTGATTATTTTTGTACTTTTACTACTATTTCTGGTTTTTAAGGCCTAACCTAATAAAAATGGGCAGCATAAAATCAGTCAGAATTCCAAAGAACTGAGAAAAATTCAACTTATAAGAATATCAGGGGACCAAAGGATTTTTTTTTTTTTTTTTTTTTTTAACAAGAACACTAATGTTATAGTCAAAGTTGGATATGAGGAGGAGGTAAAAAGTTAATACATCTCTAAGACAAAGAGAGTTTTACATGAAAGTGAAGCAGGAAACTAGTAAGAGGTTTGTATTTTTCAAACAGCTTCTGATTCAGTGAATTCTACTTTTATAGGTAATTAGAATTGCCTTAGCATCTCATTGTTTGTTTGTTTAATCTAGCCCCTGTAATACACATTCTGGCAACTTAGACCCAATTTGCCTCTGCTTTAGTATTTGTCATTTAGTTATCGTGTAGAGAATGTTTGAACTTATCAGAGCCCAGTTATCCATTAACAATTTTTTTTCAAAAACAGCTTTATGATTGTATATTTGACAAACAGTAATCTGAACATATTTAAAGTTAGTAAGAGGCTTCAGCCTTAAATAGGCTGCGACTGGAATCTCCTCTTTTCTCTTAGCCCTTGCTGACTCAGAGCCTCTTCATGCTTCCGTCTCTCTGTTTTTTAGCATTCCTCCCTGATGCAAACCGTTTTTGCTGTCTCAAGGAATTTTTGTGCCAGATTGTCTTAGGGGTTACTGGCCAAGTTACAGATTTAGGTGATTGGGGGGCACAAACATTTTAGCGCTCAATTACTAGATGAAAGGTTGGCAGTTCAAACCCATTGAGAGGTGCCTTGGAAGGCAGACCTGGTGATCTGCTTCTGAAAGGTCACACCTTTGAAACCTTAGGGAGCAGTTCTACTTGGCACACATAGGGTTACCATGAGTCCAAATCAACTCAGCTAAGAACAGCAACAACTCTTAGGTCAGATGCGTAGAGCCTGGGTTCAGTCAGCTGTGGCCAGAGTGGTAAGGTCAGGTGATACCAGTGTGGCGATTTACATAGTTAGAACCCTTGGAAGGCAGCATGCTGAGGGTAGTAAGCATGCCCAGTCCCCTGGTTACGTCATTCTGTAGCCCTTTCAACTTTGGGACCTGTGTAAAGCTAGGCCATTCCTGCTTTTGATTCTGTTTCACCCCTCCTTCATGGAAGTATTGAATGAGATAGAACAGAGCTGTGCTGTTTTGATCTTAGCTGAGAAAGAAGTCTTTCCTTATTAGAAGTTCTCTGCACAGACAGCCTGTAGGCCCTCCCTCACTTCTCAGTGACTGGTTCAGTGATTAGTGCCAGTTCTTTCTCAGGTTCCAGCCGTATTTCCATTCTTGAAGCTCTTTCTGCCTCAACCCTTTCCTCTTGGCCTCACACGGGCAGCTACCTATTGCCCTTGACACATCTTTCTTACCCATAGCTATAGCCTTTACAGACACCCAGGAACCAGGTAATATATATACCTGAAGCATTAAGAAGCAGTACTGAAGATAGTTTTTAATTTCCTTTTTATTTGTCTCTAAGCCAGCCCTACTGGACTGTTAGCTCCATGAGGACCATTTGCAATCATGTTTCCCCATTACACTCAGCATCCAATTCAGTGCTAAGCCTCAGGCATCATAAATATTTGTGAGGTGATGGATGTTTATGGTTCCAGTCTCGTTTTTGGATCCAGCCCACTTTAATATGCCTTTGTTTGATCCCTCTATTTGATAGGTTTTTTAAAGATCTCTTTGAGAAATAAATATTTTTCTGATCCCTCTTCCAACAAGCCCTGGTGGCACAGTTGTTAAGCTCTCAGCTGCTAACCAGAAGGTCAGCGGTTTGAACCCACCAATTACTCTATGGGCGAAAGATGTGGCAGTCTGCTTCCATGAAGATTTAAAGCCTTGGAAACCCTCTGGAGCAGTTCTTACTCTGTCCTATAGGGTCACTGTGAGTCAGAATCAATTTCATAGCAATGGATGTGGGTATTTTGTTTGTTTGTTTGTTTTTTCCTAGTATAACTGAGAGTATTCCAGGGTCTTTAATCAGTCATGGCAGGAATTGGACCACATTTCCTGGTTCTTTCTTTCCTCAAGAATTGCTTTTTGATGATGGGGCTCTCCTTGTCCGGAGCAAAGAAAAATGAAGAAAACCAAAGACACGTGGAAACAATTAGTCCAAGCAACTGGTGCACCATGCTCTCCTCAGCCTATACGACTGTGAGACCAGAAGAGCTAGGTGGTGCCCAGCTATCACTGTCAGCCATTCAGAGGGAGATCTGTGTGGGAGATCCTGGATGGAGTGGGAGAACAATGTGGAACAAAACTCAAAATCACAAAAAATATAAAAGGGACCAGGTTTCCTGGTCTGATAGAGCCTGGTGGAACCCCTGAGACTATGGCCTCTAGCTGCCTTTCAGGTCTGGAATTGAACCCACTCTTGTGGCTTCAGCCAAACAAAAGACAGGCATTTGAGCTGAACATTTATATTAGGTAGATACCCTCCTTAGAGAGATCAATCATGAGAGAATAGAAGGGCTGTGTATGCGCAGGGAGACAGCTTGAGGGGGCAGTAGTGCATGGGAGGGAAAGACACAGGAAAGAGGTATCTATGGGGAGAAGTAGGAAAAGAGCTGTTGCATTGTGGGAGGTTGTAGTCAATGTCGCGAGACAAAGTGTATGTGAACTGCTGTATGGAAAATGGATTTGCTCTGTAAACTTTCACCCAAATCATAATAAAATTCTTTAAAGGAAAAAAAAAAAAAAGACTTGCTTTTTGAAAAGTAGCAGTTTTAGTAATCTATACCTTTTTGGTTGTCTCCATTATTTATATAAATGTTGGAATCCACGTAGGATGATGTTGTTGTTGTTGTCATGTGCCGTCAAATCGGACCCGACTCAGGATACTTGATGCTGTTTCGTTCACAGAGGGTTGCCTATTTTGGTTTCAGGTATGAAATCAAAGGTCTGAGCTGCTGCCTTTAACCTGACGATTAGGGTTTCACTGAGCACGAGCAAGTTATTTGGGCTCATTTGCTCCCCATGGTACCGTACAGTTGACCAGAGCCTTCTTTGCTTTGCAGGAATCGATAGCAGGTACAATGAAGGTTGCAGAGAGCTGGCAAATTATCTTCTGTTTGGTTTGTACAATCAGAATAGCAGCGACTTTGAGAAAACAGGGTTTTCTGAAGAAGTTCTAGATGGTAAGTATGTATTGGTAAACTCAGTATGTGTGGGGGAAAAGTAGCTGGTTTATTTTTTCTAGTCCTTATTTCATAGTCATTTTCTGGGCACATGTGATCATAGTCAAAACAGCCCAAAGTGTTAGTAATTTTTTTGTCTCTTTAATAATTAAAACAACATTTCTTCTTTGCTGACATTTTATGTAACGTGCTTCCATTGGTCATATGCTAAATAATAAGAGAATAGGAACAAGTAATTTTCAGAATATATTTACTGGGTAAATAAGCTTTAGGGGAAAAAATAAATACTTCTCATTTATTGACTATCTTGTTATCTGACATTTGGCATTTATGACAATAGAAAAAAATCTGTTTTTCACATTAAGGACATAACGTCTGGCATTAAGGAATGCCTAGGTATGAGGAGAGAGTAACACTGGCTGTGATGGTTAGGGTTTTGTGTCAGCTTGGCTGGGCCTTGATTCTCAGTGATACCGCAATTGTGTAATGATGTAGCCAGCCTCCATTTTGTGATCTGATGTGGTCATACTCCCTTTTTGTACAATATCAATTTTCACATAATGACCTGGTCTTTGGAAGCTAACCATATCACTAAGTGACGAGTAGGTGTTTCAGCATTGGACTTACTCGTTCTTGGCAAGGTACTAGCTTTTCTCTTAATTGTTCACTGCCTTCTACATGCTGGAAGGCTCAAATTGTGGGCTATTGTCCTTTGAAGCACTTTTACTTGTTGGTCAAGGATGAGCCTACAGGCTGTGCCTACAAGGAAGACTTCATAGCATCCTCAGCTTAGGAACAAAGGCTCTTTGTCCTACTATGTCTTTGGGAATTGTTTTCTGTATGACTTTAATTCATGATGATGCCTAACTACAATGCAGCCTTTCTGCTTGCACCCTCTCTCCTCAGCTCTGAGACATTTGTCCTGTGTTGATGCTGCTGTGGGCTGGTGCCCAGGAGCTATCTCTGATATCACATATTTAGCATCATGACTTGTCTGCCAGATGGGTCGGGAGACACAGGAATAGACAAAACTGGGATGAAGACAGACAGCTCTTGTGGAGCAGCTGGGGGAAGCATGAAAGCACACATCTGATGCTGCAATAATCTAGTACGAGGCTTTTCAAATGGGGGAGATTTTTGCCCCCCGGGGGACATTTGGCAGTGTGTGGAGACGTTTCTTATTGCCACCACTGGAGGAGGGGTGCTAGTAGCATCTGGTGAGGAGAAGCCACAGATGCTGCTAAATATCCTGCAGTGCACAGGACAGCTCCCAGCAACAGAATGATGTGGTCTAAACTGTCAGTAGAGCTGAGACTGAGAAACCCTGGGCTGGTGTATGCAAAAATTCTTCTGTGGTAAAGTCCTTCTCTTAATAGTGTTTATCCTTTAGGATTATTCCTTGCTGCTTCAATTGTTTCCAATCCAAATTTGGTTTTAGATTTTGAATTTAAAAAAGAAATGCTGCTAAAAAATTATTTCCTAACAGTGGACTGACCTGAAAAGAATTATTCTTGCCAGTTCATAAAGAGAGTTATAAAAATATATTAAAAATATAGGCAGATGTTTGTACTAGGCAAACATTTCACTGCTAGGATGTAACAGCACTGAAATTAAGTATGTAGATAGTATGAGTCCTTGGAGATGTACTTTTTGTTTATCTGTAGCTTTTACCTGTCACACGATTGCTTAGGAAATGAGCATTTTCCTCCAAATTAATAAGCTCATTTTTGAAATCCAAGTAGTTGGAAAGCTGACATCACCAGATTTATGCTTCTGCATTTTGATCTCTAATTAAATGGGAGAAAAAAGGTCAGCATCAGGGATTTATTTTTTAAAAAAATATTTAGAATAGTTTGCATATTCACCTCAACTCTTGTACACGTTCTTCTCTTGCCTCACTGTGTACTTTGTCAAACTGTTGTTTATAGTGATAACATGAGCATCCTGTGATCCTGAGGATGCTTACTCAGGCTTAGTAGGTGTGTGATGCACATTAGCATAGAGCACATTGTGTGTAGGAAACCCTCAGTCTCTTGAGTGACCTCACTCACTCCTCAGTAGATGGTCTACAAGTGATTCCAGATAGAACTCTTCTGGAAGGAGTGTGTGAAAGAGTGTGCTAAGAGATAAAAGGAGCCTTCTTTCCCACCCTATGTCCCTCTTTAACTCTAGAATTGACTCGAGAATCTACAGTGAAGAGACTGCTCTATGCTGACTTCCCTAGAACACCTTGGGTGCAACCAGATGTGGTGCTCAGAGGGACATAAAGAGCCAGCATCATGGAACTGTATTCTAGGAGACCACCCAGCTGTGTGATTGGCTGTGGCCAGTATTTATTGGGTTTATAACATGTTTTTGTAGAGTGTGATCTGTCACATTGTGTTACTACTGTATTGGCCCTGCTCTACACCTGCTGCATCAGCTCCTCCTTACCCCCATGCATCTTCCTCTCTTCAGCCACTTCCTCTAGCGACTTCCCTAGCTTCTGTTATTAAAGGGAGGGCTGATCGCTCTCACTCCCGAGGCACCATGGAATAGAGCCTCTGCTTTTCTTCTAGAAGGACTACTGACTTCTTTCTGTGTTCACATCGCTGCTGTTCCTGCCCTATTCCCTGGCTCTTCTGTTATCGTACCTGGGTTTATTTGCACACTTGGGATTGCTTTATTTACTTGTCCTATTAACAATTGAGGGAGCTCTGGTGGCGTACGTAGTGCCTAAGGCACTTGACTGCTAACCAGAAGACAGGCGGTTCAAATCCACCAGCCACTCCTCAGAATGTTGGGCAATCCACTTCTGTAGTGATACTGCCTTGGAAACCCAAGGAGGAGGGGTTGCTATAAAGGAGCTCTGGTGTGGTAGGGGTTAAGGCATTTGGCTGCTGACCAAAAGGTCAGTGGTTGAACTTACCAGCTGCTCCCTGGAAGAAAGATGGGGGCACTCTGTTTCCATAAAGATTTACAGCCTTGGAAATCCAATGGGGGTTGCTATGAGTCAGAATCAACTCAACAGCAGTGAGTTTGGTTTTGGAGTTATTAAGAATTGATGTTTATTCCTTAAATCTCTGAGCTGCTAATCCATTTATAGAAGCCCTTCCCACTTGCCTCTACTTCCTTCCTCTCAGCCTTTCCTGTTACAAAATTCACCACACACTGTAACATTTTCCCAAAGCTGACAGGCAGTGTTGTTGGGTCCACAATTGCCTTGAGCCAGATGAGACAATAGCCTTAGATACTGATGCTTGCTGGAGAACCAGTGACTGGCCTTGCTGTTTTCCCCACCTTGGTGGCCTTAGGCTATAAGGTTTCCATGTGATATTTATCTCTGCAGTAAAAGTAAGCAGCTGAGTTTGGTACCACAGATTTGACTATGTTGAACTTACAACTTGACTGCGTTGAACTTTTCTTAAGCAAAATACAATGCTTAAGTAACCAAAGGCTGTTCTTTTGGCTTATCTGTGGCTGGGTTGTCATAACCAGAGAGCACAGGAACATCTCATGGGGACTAGGAAATCCTTTGCTGTCAGCACTTGACAGTTCTACAGTCACTTTGAAGCCTGTTTCCTAATTAAATAATGTTCAGGTTAGAGTTTTGCTACATTGTTCTGAAGTATTTTTAATGGCTTTACTATTTATGTGGGCAGAAAATGTCTAAAAGAAATGCCTTGGACAATCTTGTGTTTTGATATTGTTTTCTTGCAGATATAATTATCTTGATTAAGTCAGATAGTGTCCATCTGTACTGTAATCCTGTAAACTATCGCTATCTCTTACCTTATGTGGCACATTGGAGAAACCTGCATTTCCACTGCATGACCGAAAATGAGGTGAGGAGAAAAGATGGAAAAGGTACTTAAAGACACTCTAAGGATATTCTTTGTGAAAAATATTAATCTGGAACCGGAAGCATCTAAAATAATAAAATAGCAGGGTGTGGGTATACAAAAAAAAGTTATTTGTTTTAAGTGGAAAGTTTCTTATTTTATTATAAAGCTATGGATAAATTATATGCCTAAAGGAGGCAAAAGGTGCCATTTAAAATGACGCACGTGGTTAAGCGCTTGAATAATAGCTGAAAAGTTGGTGGTTCGAATTCACCCAGAAACATCTTGGGAGACAAGCTTATTAATATGTTTCCGAAGGTCACAGACTTGAAAACCTCAGGAGCAGTTTTACTCTGCACCCTTGGGTCGTCATGAGTCAGGAGCTACTCAGTGACAACTAACAGCAATAAGTAGGCTTTTTTATGGACCTTCCTTCCTGCTGTGCTCCTTAATCACCACCCTAAGCCCAGTTTGTAGGGGCCTACTGCCTAGAAGGGAGCTCTGATGGCCTAGTTAGTGCCTGAGGCATTTGACTGCTAACCAGAAGGCTGACGGTTCAAACCCACCAGTCACTCCTCAGAAGGAAGATTGGGCAATCTACCTCCGTAGAGATACTGTCTCAGAAACCCAAGGAAGGGTCACTATGAGTCAGATCCAACTCAACGGCAGTGTGTTCATGAGTGCCTAAGAGTATCCCTGGTGGCATAATAGTTAAAGCATTCAGCTGCTAAACAAAAGGTTAGTGGTTTGAACCCACCAGCTAAAGATTTATACCCTGGAAAAGATAAGACAGTCTGCTTTCCTAAGGATTTACAGCTTTGGAAACCCTATGGGGCAATTCTACAGCACCCTAAAAGGGTTGCTGTGAATCAGAATTGACTTGATGGCACTGAGTTTTTCTTGGTACCTGCTTTTGCTTCCTTTTGGGCTCTTTTTAAGAGGTTGGTTGGAAATCAAATTGGTATCTGAGATTTGGGGTTTAATGGAAGTTGTGTCTCCATATTGGTCTCAAGAACCCTTCTTTCCATGTAAGCTTTTGAGGATTTTTTAGGACAAAGTTTAATTTCTTATATTTATGTCTCTGATCAATTTTCAGCTGATTTTTATAGGTGTGGTATTAGGTAAGGGAATTGTAAATGTCTCTGACCAGCAGACACAAAAAGTTGGCTTTGGAAACACCTCTTTTAGTGAGGTTCTCTAGAATTTCATTTGAGACAACTCTGATGAAATGCAGAGAAAATATGGGACTTTGCATGATATCTCACCGGGGCATATTTTCCTTTCTATTTCCTTCTTTAGTATGAAGATGAGGAAGCTGCAGAAGAATTTAAAATCGCCAGCTTTGTGGACATGGTTCGAGACTGTAGTAGAATTGGCATTCCTTACAGCTCCCAAGGTGAGTATCAGGCAGTTAAGCCATTGTAGAACCCTGCTTGGGTTGTGTGTGTATCAAATGCCCCTACTTACAGTTTCAGTGGAGGCATTCAACTGGGAAACTCATTGATCCATTTGTACTAAAGCAAAGGGGTCAAGCAGAATGCAATTTGGGGATCTTTCTGTCCAGGCTTGTACTCATAACTGTGAAGTTTCCACAGCATGCAGCAAACCATGATCAGGTAGAGCTGATAAGGGATTTATTTCCCACTTATTGTCCATGGATGGTAGGTGGGGGGAGGGGCTCCAGATAATTAATTAGAATAGTAATTTTGCCATCTGTTATAAAAAATATGCTGATATTATGAGGTTCCAAAAATGATGTGTAAAATAACATGGAAAAAACAGCAATTTTAGCAGTGATTATATCTTTAAAAAAAAAAGTCACATTGAAGCTATTGTAATAAAAAGGAAAACTTTTGATTTGGTAATTTTCCCTTGAGGAAGTTGTTTGGCTGTGTTTCTTGGAAGGAGAGGAGCCAAGTTTGGGTCTGTTAGTAATTATATCTATTAAATGATGCAAGTCAGATGTAATGAGTCTCAATTTATTATTTATTTACTTATTTACTTCCTTAGGAAGCCAGAATATGAAAATGTACTGTGAGGGAATTTATGTGACTTGTGTGTGGTTTTAATTTCCTTGGCTTTCACTTTGTATTTCTAGTTTTGATGTCTAACAATTTTATCTTTTTCAGTTGTATTTTGCTTAATGAAGCTTTGGTGAGCTTGTAAGAAATGATGCCCATCTAAACACATTAAATCAGGTTTAGACTGTTATATCCAGAATGGTATTTGATACGTGCTGTTGTATTTGATTCCTCTAGGTCACCTGCAGATATTTGATATGTTTGTGGTGGAGAAATGGCCGATTGTACAGGCCTTTGCCCTTGAGGGCATTGGAGGAGATGGATTTTTTACCATGAAATATGAGGTATGTATGAAAAGCAGTATGCCTGGCTTTTGTGTACCACTGGGCTGTGTTTATGAAGGGCCCCCAATGTAGGTGTGTACCATTACAACCTCAGAGAGCTGGCAGTGACCTTTCAAGGGCATGGAGCAAGATAAGCAAAGACTTGAAATGGGAAACAGTTGCTGTCAAAGGCCTAGTCCCCAGACTGTTCCCATGACCTCTCTTCTTGGACTTCCTCTCTGCCCTCCCTCCTCTCCTTTCCCCTTTCTGAATTAACTGTTCTTCCTGTCTACTCCTGTAGCACTCTAGACTGACTCTTCTTATAGCTTTTATGTTATTTAACACATGTCACACACACCCATTCAACCACCTACACACTCCTGGTCTTTGAACTAGAAGCACCTTGAGAACAAAAACAGTCTTCTTGTTGTTGTTTGTATATCAGAAATTCACAGTTTGAAAGCTATTCAGGAGCACTGAAAAGGACAATACAGAATTTTGTATAAGCACAGTATACTAGAGGAACAAAAGGGTTAGCTTTTGTGGTAAGAGTGGTATCTTTTATTTCAGTGTTCCTTGCATTTAGGAGATGACCAAAAAATATTTGTTAAGTGAATTAATGAGTGAATCTTGGAAAGGAGGTCACCACCAGGAGTATGTCTTAGGGAGTATGACCTGGTAGGTGAACAGTGCAACCACAGGGATCTGTGTGCCCCCAAAGGATCCCCACTGAAATGACCTGCCCCCAGCACAAGAAACCAGGGGGGGAGAACATTGTTATACTAGTAATGGGGGCATTCTGTTAGGAATAGAGTAAGTGGGACCTTTGGACCAAGGCAGGAGGACAATTCCTACCCCTCCTGAGAAGTAGTACTGTCCCTATGAAATGAACAGAGGCTTGCCTGGCAAGACCACATCACACCCTCTAATGTGGAAGGGCGTGGCCGGGAAGAAGAAGGGAAGGATACCGCTTGGATTCCACTCTTCCTGCTCTGAAACCACAGTATTTTCACATTGGCTGCAAGTAGCAGAGCATCACCAAGGCCCAGGTAGCTGCCCCTTATAGGAAATCATGCTCTGTAAGAAGTTAAGAGTGGGGACTTGAAGGGAGGCAGGCCATAGTGGGTAGAAAAGGAGGTTACCATATCATAATGCAAATATTTACTTTATTTAGAAGCTCTGGTAAAATAGTGCCTAAAGGCATTTGATTTGTTTTTAATTAATTATGTAATTACATTATATAATATGTAATTAAGGAGCTCTGGTGACATAGTGCCTAAGGCATTTGACTGCTAACCAGAAGGCTGGCAGTTCAAACCCGGCAGCCACTCCCCAGAAAGAAGATTGGGCAATCTATTTCTATGGTGATACCACCTCGGAAATCCAAGGAGGGGTTACTCTGAGTCAGATCCAACTCCACAGCAGTAAGCTTGGTTTGGTTTTTTCTTAGTGTGTAATTATAGTGATTACTAGGCATTTGTAGAGTGCCTACCATATGTCAGGAACTTACATGAATTGACTGATTTAATTCTTAGAATAACCCTCTAAGATAGATACCATTATTATCACTATTTTGTAGAGAGGTTAAATGAACTTCCCAATGTTACAAAGCTAGTGAATGGTAGGGCTGGTGCCAGGTGCAGACAGTCTGGCTTCAGGGCCTGTGCTCCTAACCGCTGGGCTGCAGGAAGCATGGCATTGGAAAGCAGTATACTGGGAGGCCACAGGATTGATGCAACTCAAGTGAGATGGGCCTTCTGGCTCTATTTTGGTTACCTCTAGTGCTGCTCTGATAGAAATATACCAAAAATTGGATGGCTTTAAAACAAGAGTTTATTCTCTTACAATTTTGGAGGTTAGAAGTCTGAGTTCAAAGTGCCAAGCTCTAGGGGCTGGGTGAAAGCCCCTTGGCTTTGGGCTTCAGCTCTGCCTCTTGCTCCTGGCCCACTGAAGCTAGAGGCATATCTTTACTAAGGCAGTTACTGGCTGCTGAGGCTGACAAATCCAAGGTCAACAAGTGAAAAGGCACAGTCCTGATATTACCAAACGACACAGCAGGCCATTAATTCAAGTCCATTAAAAGTCCCAAGAATGGCAGAGCATGGTAAGCTGCTAAACAACGACTCAGCTACATGCAGGGTTCAAGTGTTCCATAAGCTGGAAAGCTGGAGACCTTCCTCAAAGTTGTTCCCCACACTAAAGCAGCTACTCAGCTGTTGCAGTAGATTCCACCATGGAGTTAATTACCAGTCCCACCGTGGGGAATAACGACATGCAGCTGCCCAGCCACTCAACCAGACCCAGCCAAGTTGACACACAACCTTAACTACCACAGGCTCCTACCTTAGAGTACATCATACCATGGAATCACATCCAAAAGGAAAAGATTCCCTTCCAAAAACCTTTGCAAGGTAATACATATATTTACTGTGGATTTTTTTTTAGGTGGGTAGGATAGACAGAGAGGAGGAAACAGCACACAATATATAGTAAGAGTTATTATAAATCTTCTTTCAATGTCACTCTCTCCAGATCCTACCCTTTTCTGTAGCTGCTAATTTTAATTCCCTGAAACATTTTCTTTCCATCCATACCTCACTCCCCCCACCTGAGTTCTTTTCTTTACCCTGCCTTTCCTGGTCCTTTAAGATTTAGAGCAGCCTGGCTTCCTGATTGGCTCTGCCAGTATAACCTCTGTTCTCTTCAAGGAGTTCTGGTGGCGCAGTGCCTAAGGTATTTGACTGCTAACCAGAAGGTTAGCAGTTCAAACGCACCAGCTGCTCTGCGGAAGGAAGTTGGGTCAATTTATGTCCGTAAAGATTTTCTCACCTCAGAAACCCAATGGGGGTCGCTATGAGTCAGACTTGACTAGATGGCAGTGGGTTTGGTTTTGAGTTGCTACTCTCTTCACATCGTGAGGACCTGATAACTGCCTGAGCCAGAAAGACTCACACCTGCTTTGAAGGCTAAGGAAAAGAGAACTACAGATACTTACAACTTAATTTTCTAAACTTCTGTTTTATTGCATGGCCATTCCCAGAAGAAAATTATTAACCCAGAGGGTATTGTGTGCCTCATGCAGCAGATGCCTGCATGAGAAAGGAGGCCAGGCCCAGCCACAGCATTTGCTTAGGATGTGGAATGAGCCAAACTGAGTCATGGATAAAGAGAACTTTTTCCTGTTGGGAACCAAAGCAGGGAAGTTCCTCTGCTGGGGCTTTCCCTGCCCCCAGCTTCCTTCTTCTTTCTCTCCAGCTGCTAGACCCGTGACTTGGCAGTGTAAATTTACACCAACTAACTAGCTTACCAGCTAGGAGAGAGGGATGCTGATAGCAAACTTCTGAACAATGAGAGTAACCATAGAGCATTCACTCACAGGTTTACAGACAAACATATGGTCTTCATATTGAAAGGTGGAACACGACTTGTGAGAATATTCAATGAGATACAAGAAAGAAGCAGGGATAGATGAGCATGCTTTAAACTAAGATTTTCTCCAGGAAACAAAATAAAAATTGAGAAAATGTCTCTTTTATACTTTTTAAAAATTGAGTTATAAATGAAATACAGCAGATAGAATAAGCAGAATTTTATAAAGGAGATGGATGACGTATTAGGAAAGATTGTAAGGAGTCTCAAAAGTTCATTATAGAATTAAAATGTACATTAAAAATAAAATTCAAAGTCAGCACCCCACAAAAAAATCTGATCACTTGCCACATTGAAAAGCTGTTCAGAATACAGAGGAAGAGATTAAAGCAATGAGAAAGAAGATGATTATATGGAAGCTAGAGAGTGGAAATTGATGGCATTGAAAATGAAGGAATTAATTGAAGGTTTTTATGTATTAGTCTTTGCCTTTCTCCTTCCCCTACAGAGTGACAGGCAACCAAGCATGCATTTACAGTTTGCCACCTATACCGGAGGAAAAAAAAGAACTGGGGAAAGGTTCTCTAAAGAAACTAAAGCCAGGGATGCTGCTAGGCATCCTACACAACAAAGAAATACCTGGCCCCAAATGACAACAGTGTTGCTGTTGAGAAACCCTAGGTTAAGCATATGGCAAATCTGATAGGGAAGTATTGATTTGTAGAAAAATTATGGAAGTGAAAAAATAAGGCTGTTAGTAACCCCAGGAAAAACAAAAATTTGTATAAGCAAAAAGGAGTATAATATGTACTTAGCCTACAGTAAATAATATTTACATGTTAACGTTATAAACAATAATTATTGATGTAACCAAAAAAGTTATAATATTAGATAAAGTTAGAGGTGGCGGGGCATTTATAGAGAAGTATGGGAATAGGAAGGACATAGAAAAGCTCTATCTTTGCCATAATAAATCAATATTTAATTTCTAAATTGATAAATCAAGAAATAGTGGTAGAAGTGTACTATATCAAACTGTGGAAGTAAATACTAGGGGAAAAATGTTAAAAGAGTTCTAAGTGATTGTCTCAGAGTAGTGAGACTAGTGGGGGCTTATTGGTGCAGAGGGATTAATTTATTATTATTGTTGAGAATACACACAGCAAAATATACACCACTTCAACAGTTTCTGCATGTACCATTTAGTGACATTGGAAACATCCTTCAAGTTGTACAGTCATTCTCATCTTCCTTTTCTGAGTAGTTCCTTCTCCATTAAACCACCAGCCACTCGTCAGAAGGAAGGTTGGGCAGTCTATTTCCGTTGTAATACTGCCTCAGAAACCCAAGGAGAGGTCGCTATGAGTCAGATCGACTCCACGCAGTGCATTGTGTTTGCATTAACGTTTCTATCTAACTTTCAAGTTGCTATTACCAGTTTGATCTCATGGAGATAGTTCTTATGAGAGCATAATGCTCAAGAAGACATTTTCCACTAGTTCAGCTAAACTGTTGTTTGGTTTTAAGAAGACCCCAGGGAATTTTTTTTGTTTAAAGATTATCTCAGGGCAGTAGTTTCAAGGGTTCGTCCATCCTCCTTGGAGCCAGAAAATCTTGAGTCCATGAGAATTTTAAATTCTGTTCTGCATTTCCCCCCATTTGATCAGCATTCTTCTATAGAATCTTTGATCAGAATGTTCAGTAGAAGTAGCTGGGCATCACCCAGTTCTGGTCTCATGGCAAACAAGACAGTTGTTCATGGAGGCAATTAGCCACACATTCAGTGTCCTCATCCTTTTCCTGATTCTCCTTCCTCTCTTGCTCCAGGCAGACAGAGACCAATGTTTGTGCCTTGGATGGACACTTGTAAGCTTTTAAGATCACAGGCACTGTGCTGCAAAGTAAGAGGTAGAACAGAAGCACTGAACATATTATTAAATCAATTAACTGTTATGACCCTAAACCTCCAAACCAAGGAACCAAATACCCTGAGGTTTTTGATTTTATGAAAGCAGCCTCAGCAACTTCTTCTCTTCAATATTGTTATTATAAATGTATCTGTCACACAACTTTTGCCAATTCAACTTTTTACAGGTATACAACTTATTGACAGCAAGGTATTATTTTTTTTTATTATAACCTTTTAGTACTATTTGATTTTTTAACCATGGGCATATATTAGTTTAAAATTTTATTCTAAGCAAAGGTAAAAATACGCACATATACTTGTGTGTTGGTGTGTGTGTGTGTATCCTCACTGAAGATATTCAAGAGTTCTGAAAAGATAGTTTATTTAATGGGACAACATTTATTAATATGTACAATTTCTAATATTGGTAAAATTTTAAATTATTCTCATCACACTGAGTTTTTACCAAGGCAGTAATTTCTGAACATCAGAAAATAATTCTGATTGTCTTAAAAATAATGATTCATGTGACCACCTAAGGTGCAACTATTGGTCTCTCCCTGTCTGGAGCAAAGAAGAGTAAAGTAAATCAAAGATGTAAGGAAACAGTCCAGAGGATCAATGAACCATATGAACCCCAGCCTCCATGACACTGAGACCAGAGGAACTACATGGTGCCAGGCTACCTCTACTGACCACTCTGAAAGGGATCACCATAGGAGGTCCTGGATAGAATGGGAGAAAAATATGGAACAAAATTCAAAATCATAAAAAAAAAAAAGATAAGGCTTACTGATCTGATAGAGACTGGTAGAATCCCTAAGATTATGGCCTTTCGACACACTTCAAGCCGAGAACTGAACTCACCAAATTTCAGCCAAACGACAGACAGGCCTATAAGGTATGAACAGTAATACCAGGGAGGTATGCTCTCCCTAGATCAAAAGGGCAGCATTTGCCCAGGGATAAAGCTTAGAAGTCAGGAAGGGATGGGAAAGGAGGATGAGGGGAAATGGTGAACACGGTGAGGCAGTGGGAAGTTGCTGTTACATTGTAGGGATTGCAGTGAATGTCACAAGACAAAATGGGTATACAGTGTTGAATAAAACCAAGGTGCTCTGTAAACTTTCACCCAAATCGCAATGAAATAATAATAATAGTATTGATTCACAAATTGTTTCATTGTTTTTGCTCTTGTATTGCAGTTGCAGGATGTGAGTTTGAATCTGTGGAACATCTATAGCAAGATGGATCCTATATCTCTGGAAATTTTGCTTTCAGAAGTAAGAAACCAAACTGTTTAACTTAGAAATTATGTCCAGTTCAATTATCCACTAAAGGTTCTATACTTAATTTGAAGAAATGCAAGATATATTTTCATTAGTTTTAGTCAAAGAATAGAGCAATGTCTTCCTTGATTGTTGTCTCAGACTCCTTGGGGTAAAAGGAGCCTGGAAAAGTGATGCTTCCCCTTCTTTTCTGAAGAAGCCTGCATTTGAGGCAAGACCAAGGCCCCCTGCCTGCCTCAGGGCTTAGATTTTCTTTTAAAGATGTTCATTCTGTTGGGTTGCATTCTAGGCCCCCCAGTAGCCATGGATGGGTATGCATGGTCATGGACTTGAGTACTAAATGTGTCTGACTTTTTAAAAATTAATCAAGGTTTACATGCTGAATTTTCTATGATGTGTCACTTTGGAGAAGGTGGCATTTACTGTCATTTTTTTATAACCAGCTAGAGTCCCCAAGAAAGGATATTTTAGATGGATCCATTGGGAGGATGCAAGAAGAAAATTAGAATGTCCGTATCCAGGTAGTCTCCAACTTTATGACATGTTCCAGTTAATGATGAACCGCACATAGGACCATCTGGTGTTTTTTGCTTTGTTTTGTTTTATGTTACCTCTTATCCTTTTGGACTCTAAAAAATAATAATAATAAATACAAAGGGTATCTTTTTGTACTTTTTAGGTAGGGCAGTATAAAAAGGTAAGAAAGATGTGATATGGCTTAAAGGAATCAAGGATTAGAGCAGTATACAGTAGACTTTTTCTGTCAAGAGCTGGATAGTAATGTTTGAGGGTTTGGGTGTTGTATGGTCTCTGTTGCAGCTAATGAACAATGCCATTGTACAAAAGCAGCAGTAGACAATGCTTAAGTGAATGGGTGTGTCTTTTCCCAGAAAACCTTATTTACAAAAATAGGAGCCAGCCCACAGCCCTAATTGCCAACTTCAGAATTAGACTCAGACCTTAATTGTTCATTTGAACTTTGAAGAAAAATTTGACGGTGTTGGGGAGTACTTGGCGATGAGGAGCAAGCAACAAAACTAAAGCGACAGAAATAGGTACTAGTTCAGCAGCTCAGTAGTGCCTCCCAGTGGCCATGGATGGGTATGCATGGTCATATAGACTGAAGTATTAAATGTTTGACTTTTAAAAATTAATCAGGGTTTACCCGTTGAATCTTCTGTGATGTGTCACTGTGGAGAAGGTGGCATTTAATGTCCTTTTAAAAAAATCTTATCCTTAGTAATAAGTACTACATAAAATGTTAAAAATACTTCTGTAGGTTTATATTAATGTTTCCAACACCCAAAGACAAATAAAGATGGGATTTATAAAGACACTGATGATAAAAGGCAATAATAATGAAAACTGAAAAATAAAATGAGGAATTCAACTTATGTCAAAACTGACTGACAACAGAGTCATCAGAATGGAACCCTGTCATAAGTCAGGGACTCCCTGTATATTTATTTTTATCTTAGAAAGAAAGAAGGTAAGCTTTGTTGATATGTAACACACAGACTAACAGTGACATTTTGGTGCAATCCACATGTGGATGGTTTCCTGTCATGTACGGTGTCTGATCTAGTGTTTCCAGGAGTAACTCACCCTCATCCTTTTGCCTTGGGTATGCAGTATAGTATAAGTTCTGCTGCTGGATGGCTGTACTGTGGTTAATTTTCTTTAAAAAAAAAAAAAAAAAAAAAGCTTTACTAGTAGAGAATGATCATGTAAATCTTTTGTACTGCTCAGATGTTCAGTGACTATCTCATGGCGATATAGAGGTATGTGTATATATAATTTATAAATAAGAATACATGTATTAAGGATGCTGCTCAAACATTGTTACTGATAATGATGTACGGTCAGGGAAATTGGAGCACACCTACAACTTTCACTCACGGATTTTATTGCCCTTTGACAATCCTTTCTGGTAAATTATTATGTTGGGGCTTGCAAAGGATGGTTTTCCAATACTGTTATTCCTTCTGCATATTTTAGCTGTCATTACTCTATAAAGAAGAACATTCTTTTCCTTCCTTCTTCCTTCCTTCCTCTCTTGTTTTCTCTTTTTAAGTATCATCATGGACCCATTTTTAAAAATACAATTTAGGGTTACAATCCATTACCATCATTATTCTTTTTGATACTCAGATTGCTCCATGTTTGTTCAGTGGGAGCCCATTCAGGCCGCCTTTGTCTCCTTTTGACATGTATCCATCCATCTTTGAGCACTTGTAGGGAAGATGGGGCAATCTACTTCCATAGCGATACTGCCTTGGAAGCCCAAGGAGGGGTTGCTATGAGTCAGGTCTGACTCGACGTCACATAACAGCAACAACAGGAATATATCTTAGATGTTTTCCAGAATGGGAGCTCTGGTGGTGTAGTGCCTAAGGCATTTGACTGCTAACCAGAAGGCTGACAGTTCAGACCCACTAGCCACTCCTCAGGAGGAAGATTGGGCAATCCACTTCCATAGAGATACCGCCTTGGAAACCCAAGGAGGGGTTGCTATGAGTTGGAAGTGACTCGATGACAGGAATTTGTGTGTGTGTGTTTCCTTTCTTCCGAATGATCCTGAAATTTCCCTGCCCCAGACTAGAAATCAGCCATTTCTCCAAGGAGCTCTGATTCTTTTTAGTGAGGAATAGTATTTAGAGACTAGAATCTGGGTACTAGGTATTTATCTTGCTACTATAGGGACATTGGTCCTAGACCCTTTCAGGGGGCAGAGCAAGGAAATAAAGTAGAAGGGTAATAAGGAAAGGAAGTGATAAAATTTCAAAAATTACATTTCCCTGAAATACTAAAAGGCTTGAATCCACATGTTAAAAATACTGTACCATGTCCTAGCGAAAATTGCCCTAAAGTAGTCAATACTAAGACATATCACAAAGTTACTGAACTTCTAAACCCCGAAAAACAAAAACAACAAATAGTGCTTTGGCAGCCAGGTACATATAAAGGCAAAAATTAAGGCTGGCCTCGAATTTCTCCATGGCAGGAGAAAAGTGATGAAAAAAGTGGATTTAGGATGGCTAAAAAGCCACTTTGACCACAATCTCACACACAGCTAGGAAGAGGTTAGGCCAAGATAGGATCCCCATTGTGCTTGGCACCACACAGCTGCTATATGTGCTGACCTGGCTGGCAGGTATTAATGCTGCTCAGAAAACTGAGGAATTGCTGGTGGGACTTAAAATGATTCAGCTTCTTTGGAAAACAGTTTAGTGGTTCCTCAAAAAGTTAAACATAAAGTGACCATTACCAACCAGTTGCCATCAAATTGATTCCAACTCATGGCGACCCCAGGTGTTTAGGAGTAGAACTGTGCTCCATCGTATTTTCAGTGATCTTTTGGAAGCAGATCACCAAGCCTTTCTTTCAAGGCACCTCCAGGTAGATCTGAACCACCAACCTTTCAGTTAGTAGCTGAGTATTTAGCCATTTACACTACCCAGGGGCTTCTAGAATTACCATTTGACCCAGTAATTCCATTTAAAGATATGTACCCGAAAGACTTGAAATCAGGGACTTGTACACCAATGTTCATAGCAGTATTATTCACAATAGCCAACAGATAGAAGCAACTCAACATTGTTCAACAAATGAATGGATAAGCAAAATACAGTATATCCATAAAATGGAATGTTATTCATGTACATCATGGGTGAACCTTGAAAACATTATTCTAAGTGTAAGAAGTTAGGCACAAAAGGACGAATGTTGTGTAATCCCACTTATATGACATATCTAGACTAGGCAAGTGCTCAGACAAAAGTCTATTAGTGGTTACTAGGGGTCGAGGGACAGGGAATGAGTTATTGCTTAAGCTTCTGGGATGACGAAAAAGTTTAGGAAATAAATAGTGGTGATGGTTGTGCAACATTGTGAATGTAATTAATGGCACTGGATTCTACACTCAAAAATGATCAAAACACCAAAATTTTATATCTATTTTAAACACAGTAAAATTTCAAAAAAAGAAAAGAAAGCAGGGATGAAGGAATTAGAAAACAAGAAAATGTTAGAACTTGTAAATAAGCCCAGACCTGGGACTTTGAAACTGAGAACAATGAAATAGATAAACTGTTAGCTTAATTGTAGTACATTATATTATTCATAATTACATTGTTCATAATTCTTTCCCTTTCCTTCATGCTCGTGCCATAGTTGACAGACCCATGTTGGCCTTGTTTGTGTGCCCTTGCTCTTTGGCCAGTGGAATGTGAGTCGTCATATCCCACCAGAAGCTTGTGAGGTTTGTCTTACCCTCTTGCACTCCTGCCAGCTACTATGTGAAGAACTTGCCCCGGGTAGCTGTGCTTCAAGTCTTGGTCCTGAAAGGAGAGACATGTAGAAAGAAGCTCAGCTGAGCCACAACCAGACCATAGACCTGTGAGCAGTACATCAGGTTTTTTTTGTTGTTGTAAGATACTGTTATGTCAAGGTTGTTTGCTGCTATACGATATTATTGTAGCAAAGCCTGACTAATCAATTACTCTTAACAAGAGAAAAGGAGAGAGTACAAGTTTATTAAATAAGAAAAAAGAGATAAATAATAGATACAAAGGACATTAATAGTAATAATAAGTAATGGCTTAATTTCAATTCAAAAACATTTGAAAACCTTGTTAAAGGGATTTTCTCTGAAAACAGGTTTTAAATCAAAGTAAGCTCCATAATAGATAGAAAATCTAAAATAAGCAATTGAAAAAGAGAAAACACCAGGAACAGATGCTTTTATAGGTGAATTCTGCTAAAAGTTAAAGTATAATTTTAGAGCTATTTAAACTGTTTCAGAGCCTGGAGAAAAGATCAGCTTGGATCTTTTAAATGAAATTAACTATGATAACAAAACCCCCAAAAAAATAACTCAAAAAATGAAAACTACAGACCAGTCTCACTTATGAATATTGATGCTTATATTTTAAGTAGAATATTAGCAAACAGAATCTAGTATCGTGTTAAAAGAATAATCCATGATGGTTGGA